TCGTGCTTGGGAAAAATGCCACAAAAACTGCTGTGATGTTGAACACAGCTTACAAGGACAGTGCTATGGGAAAAACTCGAGTGTACCAATGGTTTTCTCGGTTCAAAAAAGGTTAAATGTTAATTGATGACAAACCTTGTTCTGGACATCTGTCAACTTCCTGAACGGACAAAAATATTGACTCATAGTGCATTTGGAGTTCATTCCAACAGGTCAGACTGTTAATCAAGTTTTCTAGTTAGAGTTTCTGAAAAGATTACATGACAGTGTACAGGCCTGATTTGTGGCAGATGGGGGGCTGGTTTTGCCACCACGACAATGCACCTGCTCATGTAGCCATCTCAGTGCACCAGTTTTGGGCAAAACACAGCATTCCTCTCTTGCCCCACACACCTTACTCACCTTACCTCGCTCTGTGCAACTTCTTTTTGTTTCCTTCAATGAACAGGAACATAAAAGAGCAGCAATTTGATGATGTAGAAGAGAAGAATAAAATGATGGAGGTGTATGAGCCATTCAAACAAATGAGTTTGAAAACTGTTTCCAAGAAGAGAATTGCAGATTTGACAAATGTGTTAAGTGTAATGGAGAGTCCTTTGGAGGTAATAAGGTTGTTTATATATGAAGAGATAGACTACATTGGTGTTGGTACAGTTGAAAGGGGGGTATATTTTAAAAGAGTTTAGATAAAATAAATTGGCCTGGAGGATGAATTGAAAGGGGACATATACTATATATCTATTTCTGTATAAAACAAAACTAAATTCTACCACAGAACTCAGTGGCTTAAAACAATAAACATTCATTTTCTCTAAAATTTGTGAATTACAAATCCATGCATGATTTAACTGAATGTTTGACTCTTGGTCAAGCATATGATTGTCTGTTGTCAAGTTTTTAGCCAGAGTTGGTGTCACTTAAAAGTCCCACTGAGGAAGAATTCACTTTCAAACCCACCCATGTGAATGCGGCAGGTTTCAGGTTCTCATTGATGATTGGTCAGAGGCATTGGTTCCTTAGCACCTGAACCTCTCCACAGGGGTACTCACATCATAGTATAGAGTGAAGTGGAAGCAGGGGGTGGGACGGGGAGGGATGGAGAACATGGAGGAAGTCACAATCTTTTTGTAGGCTATTCTCACAAATGATACCTTAGCACTCTTGCAATAGTATATTTCTTGGAAGTGAGTCACTAGATCTGGTTCTTGCACAAGAGAAGGAGATTATCCAAAGTGGTGGGGACCACCAAGGGCCCTTTAGAGGTTGCTTAGCATAGAGAATGAGAGAGCAAGAAGCATTATGGTACCAATTATTGAGTATTAGAAAGATGTAAAAGGTCTAGGTTTGCTAAAGAGGATCCTAAGTCTTGTTTTGGAAATGGGAGTTGTACGTGCCTTTCATTTCATGAACAAATATGCATTTGTCCACTACCTATCAGGTGTCAGACAGGCATTCTGGTGGCTTTGGATTGCGAATCAGAAGGTAGATAGTTGGAACTCACCAGCTGCTCCACAGCAGAAACGTGAGGCAGTCTGCTTCCATAAAGAGTTATAACCTTGGAAACCCTGTGCCGCACGGTTCCACTTGTCTGATCGGCTTGCTATGAGTTCAAACTGACTCAATAGCAGGGCATTTGGGTTTGCTTTATGCGTCCGGCACTATTTTAGGAATGAGGGATATAGTCGTGTATACAGAAAAGACCTTGTATTCATAGAATTCACCTTCTGATGGCTGAATAAATACATACAAATCATAGAGTTTGAGATAATTAAACGGCCAGTGAAAGAACAAAATTGGGATTTTACTTCAGCTCTCAGGAGAAAGATGCAGCCTCTACTCCCGTAAGTAGTTCCAGCACTAGAAACCTACAGGGGCAGTTCTACCACGTTCTATAGGGCTGCCCCAAGTTAGAATCAACTCGATGGAAGTGATCTTGGTTTTTATGGTTTACAGAGGTAAAGAAACACTTTTCAGACACCCAAGCAGGTTGTTAGGTCTTAAGATTTCTTTTAGATTCCTCCTGTATGCTCTTTGTACTTTCTGCCTCTTCGAGAATTTTTCAAAAATTGTTTTGCATTACAGTACTAAAGTGTTCCTCCCCAAAAGATATACATCTCAAATCCTTAGAACCTATGAAAGTTATCTAATTTACAAAAAGGGCCTTTGCAGATAGGATTAAATTAAGGCTCCTGAGATTAGATTACTCTAGAATCTAGACTCACCGGGTAAGACCAAAATGCCATCATGTATCCTTACAGGAAACTCAGAGGAGATGACACATGGAAAAGGGGAAGCAGCCTGACTCCAGAGGCAGAGATTGGAGTGAAAGTCAAGGTAGGCTGACCAGACATGGACAAGGCAAAGGATTAATTAATTATTCCTTAGAACCTCCGGTGATTCGATATCTTGATTAGGGATTTCTGGCCTCCAGAACTATGAAAGAATAAATTTTACTATTTTTTTCCCACCGGCTATCTGGTAATTTGTTGCATCAGTTACGCAGAATTAATGCATCCTTCCAGGGTTATTCTCCACTACTCTCTTCATGGCATTTATTACAAGTTGTAATTACTTGTTTGTCCAGTTGTTTGTCTCATTAATATGTAAACTCCATGAAGGTGCAGGCCCTTCACTGTATGCTCGGTTCTTAGCACAACTTCTGAACATACGATGTTCTTAGGCAGTGTCAGATGACCCAAGAAGAAAGATGAGCAGAAGCTTACTGTGTTCACTTACTAATCAGTAGTGAATGAGTTCATGCTTTCCCCCCACCACCACTTCAAAGATTCTGGACACTGTTTCTATTCTCCCAATCCCACAGCACCTTTCTACAGCATCAATGCCTCTTGGGATATACAATCTCTGATAGGGACAGAATACTCAATAAATAAGGTGAGCTAGGCCTTAGCTGTACTTATTTAGTAATCTGCAACAAGCAGTTAGGTGGTAGAGTTAGTTGTTCCCTGCAGATTAGTAAATTTCAAGCTCTGGCTTACCTTGCGTTGGGGTAACCCATCCTTGTTCTTAGGAAATATCTGTTAAAAGAAGGAATGAAAACATTTTCCCATTAAAGAACACGTCTCATAAGCCATAGGCCACGTGTACTGACCATTACTACCACAGGCCCCAGCTCAGACCCTTACAAAACCAACCATCAAACAAGCAAATAAACCAACACTGTCTTTGAACTATGTCTAGAAATCAGGAAGTCTGCATTGTTGATTGTACTGCAATGTACCACTGTGTGATCATCTACACCAGTGGTTCTCAACCTTCCTAATGCTGCGACCCTTTAATACAGTTGCTCATGTTGTGGTGAGCCCCCAACCATAAAATTATTTTTGTTGTTATTTCATAACTGTAATTTTGTGACTGTTATGAATTGGGTGATCCCTGTAAAAGGGTCTGAGCTATACGCTTATTACAGTGTTTTGGATTGTTTCTTATGTTCTTTGTCCTAGCTGTCATAGGAAGCAGGTTCAAATACCATTCATGTTTGCATGTTTCACATGAGCCACAGCACTTGGCATATTTTGAGGGCAAGAAACATTTGAGACTCTAGCAGTGATTCTCAACCTGTGAGTCGTGACTGCTTTGGGGGTCCAACGACCCTTTCACAGGGGTCGCCCGATTCATAACAGTGGCAAAATTACAGCTATGAAGTAGCAATGAAAATAATTTTATGGTTGGGGGGGTCACCGCAGCATGTGGAACTGTGTTAAAGGGTCATGGCATTAGGAAAGTTGAGAATCACTGCTCTATGGCAAAATAAAATGAGATCAGGCTTCAGCCTCAGTCAGAATTGAAGCTCAACATTGCTTTCTTATGTAAATTCCTGAGCTTGAATACTCTCAACTGTTAGCAGACGAACCCTTATCCCATTGGGCAGTGAACCTGTGATCTAACTCGGCCTATAAGGGACTCCACGAGTTATATCTGATCATTATTAATAATTGTATAACATTGACCGGAACAAAATGCACAACGTCAGGCAAGAATTCTGCCCCAACTCCATCCAATATCCTAGCCACATGACTTTACACAAGCCATTTAACGTTTTTGAGCCAAACTTCTTAGTAAAAAAAAAGCGGCAATAACACCCACCTCAAGAGAGTGTGTCCGAGTTGGGGAGTAAACGAAGTAATTCAATAGTTGATTTAGAGTGTCTGACCCAACAGATGTGTGTAGTAATCTTTTGAGCTCAAACCCTTGGCTTTTTAAGATGTGCACTGGTCGTTAAGCAAGCACTTCCACTTCTTTCCGTTTTCTCAACCAGTGAAAAAGGCTAGAAGAGCCTCAACCAACCTAAATTAGGGAACTTCCAAACCATAAGTAGCGTGAGTGTTCCAAGGTTGCAGGACTCCGTCCTTGAGCAGCCTATCAACCACCAGTGGTTACAAATTGAGAACAAGAGACTTTACAGCCTCTCCCACGGGGTGGCATGCAAAGGTGAGGTTTAGCTTTTGTGGGGTTACCCAGAGAGCTTCGCTTACAAGTGGGTGGCCCATCTTTCCTCTAAGCTTCCTGAGGTTGTCTGGGTAACGTCTGCGTCATCGCGTAACGTCACGTGCCGGCTGGCGCGTAACCCACCGCGCAATGCGCAGGTACCTGGCGGGAGCCAATGGGCGCGGCCAGAACGTGGGCCACGCCCCGTGGCCGAATCCGACCAGAAGGGGGCGGGGCCGAGCGGCGGCCGCGCGCGCTGGACCTTCCCGGGCGGTCGGGGCGGTTGCGTGTGGCTGCGCGCCGGTCGCCCGTCACGTAGGTTACGCACGCAGTGGCTCCCGGGGGCAACCAGATCCCCGGGCCCGGGGACCCCGGAGACGGGGCCGCGATGGTGCGAGTCCAGGGTCGGTCGCGCAGCTGACGAGGGGCCGGAGGGCTGAGAAGAGCCTGAGCGATCGCGGCCCGGCACGAAGCCCGGCCCTGGCTGTCGGGCTCCGGGGCGCCCGCCCGGCCGGGCAGGGTCACGCTCCTCGCGGGGAGCGGTGAACTCTGTGCCCCGCCAGCCCCGGGCCCCCTGCGGGAATGTTCAAAAATGAGTACCAGGTAACCTGAAATGGCTCTCCCACCCGCCTGTCACTGTCTCCTCCAGGGTGAGGGCGAGTGAACACCAGACACCCACCCCTGATAGGGTCCTTTTCGGGGTACGAAGGAACGAATGGATGAGTGTTCTTGGGGGGAAACAACCACCACCAATTGGTGTACGAGTTCACTTTTGTTCACTCGCCAGCTCAGCGCCTTCCAACGTTTGTGGATTTACCTGCGATTCTGGTTAAAATGCAGACCGGCAGCAGCCCTATCCAAATCTGAATCTGAATTTTGAGAAGAGAACCCAGAAAAAAAGATTTTAAACAAATGCCTGGGCAGTGGTGCCCATGGGGTCTCTCAGCTGTATGGATGGGTTGTCTAAATGGATGCGTTGAATGAGTTACATCGAGGCAGAAAATAAGCGCTTTGGCTTTGTGCCCTTTGCTTTCCCTCAAACTGGGCTGCCCGTGACCCAGTTTGCACTGAATTCATTAGGATCACTTGAGGGCATTTCTCAAAAATGTCAGTCTCCTGACCTCACTCCAAATCTAGGGGCTCACTCTCTGGAGGTGGGGGTCAGTCCATATACCCTTTTAACAGGTGATGAGTTCTGATGATTCTGATGCCAGTGGTCCAAGGGTCAGACTTGGAGAAACTCCGCTGGGGAGTCACCCTGAGTCTCCTGGGGTGCCCCAGTGCCTGACCTGCTTGCCTCCGTTTGGGACATCTCCCTTCCTGTCCTTCCTCCATCCTGTCCCCTGCCCTTCCCTCAGCTCTATTGAGGTGAGACTCTCTATTTACAATCTGTCCACCTTTTCATTCTGCTTTGTCCCCCACACAGGCCTCTACTGACTTGCACCACTTTGTTGCTCTGCCTTTTCACCGAAGGCTACCTGCCTCCTTGGAATGTCCTGAAAGCACTCTCTGACTTGCTCTTCTCCACCCCACTTTATATCATCAGATGGGTTAGAACGATTGTAGAGCATTTGTGTCACTTGTAGAGCATTTGTGTCACATCTTTATAAAAACCACACATGCCCACTGTGTGGATTTGGAAAACAAAAGCATGCAAAAAGAAGCAGGGGGCTGGGATGGGGAGGGAGTTTGCGATCTCCTCAAGTGTCAGGATTTTTCTCCTTAAAAGAAAATTGCTTCAAATTTAAAATTCATAGTGAATTATGACCTGATCTGGCAAGTTGTAGGATTTCTATCTCACACACAGTTTGCACATAATGCTGCCGAAGCAGTATGAAATTAAGGGCCTAACTTCAAGTGATTATTTGTTAAAACAAGATAAAATAATATCTGGATATTATTGAGAAATTTAAAAGCTGTAAGTTTTATCCAGAAATCAGGCAAGTTTGCTCATGTGCTGCTTAAAATTCAAACAAGACAGAGAACACCGGTTCTCAACCTGTGGGTCGAATGACCCTTTCACAGGGATCGCCTGATTCATAACAGTAGCAAAATGACAGTTATGAAGTAGCAATGAAAATAATTTTATTGTTAAGGAGTCACCACAACATGAGGAACTGTATTAAAGGGTCGTGGCATTAGGAAGGTTGAGAACCACTGACACAGAAGGAAACTACATTTAGACTTCATTTCACATTCCCACTTTCTTGCAATAAACATGACACTCTCCCTCAAAAATAATGGTTGTCTTTTACTTCCCCCCACATTATAATGAAAATGTGTGAACCTTCAATAATGTGTTCATTGTTTTTATATAAGCATGTTCCTCCTTGTTAGCAGATTTACAATGACGAGCAGGGAGCATGTCTATAGACCTGATTAGTTTCTTACCCTATGATGAGAAGAAGCAGATGTCTGCTATCCCCATATCATGGTCTTAGAAACATATCTTTGCTATTTTCAATTTCCTTTGCATTTTCGACATGTGTTAGTTTTGAGGCATACTTTGGCCTCAGTGAACAAGAGTTATAAAAATCCTTGCCTTTTGTCTAACCCTCTTTGTTTTCTGTGTTCAATCACTTAGCTTTTTAATCTGTATATGTGAACATTCCATGTACTTCAGTCTAATAAGCTTTCCTATGTATTTTTTTTCTTTTCTCACGAGTTTTAAATTCTATGCCATTGGCTAGATTAGTGATACTGTTATTAGAAATGCCAAGTGCCCCCTGTAGTATTTCTCAAGTAGACCAGAAATATCTATATACCTTAGAAATGTGAATGGATTCTGAGCTTGCACTTAATCATAAACCCTAATTTAAGGATAGTTGGTTCTTATGATCTGACCCTATTCTGTATTGAACTCATGAAGTGATCATTGAAGAAGACAAGAGTGCTGTAGCAAAATGTGGTGAGGAAAGCAGGTGGTGTCTGGCTGTCAGAAAGGATGGTCAGTGCCTAGGGTCTTTAAAGGCTTGTCTTTAGTTTTTCAGCAACAGTTTTTAATGCCAGGGCCACAGATGCTCAGGACATTTAAAAAGGGAGTGGGGAGCAAGATACATATCATTATGTAACAAAAGGCTTGTCTTTAAACAAGAAACTCTAAGTGATGTGTCAGGTCAGTCTACACAGAAGAAACCCACCTGGGCCCTGTGAGCCACAGATTGTAAATAATGAAATCCAAGACCAGAGGAAGGGATTATATTCCATCTTAAATTCTGAGCACCTGGCTTGCAGAAGGCTCTGGATGACAGTGAAAGCCCCAAGTCCATTTGCCGAGGCCCCAGGTGGACAAAGTTTCCACTGAACTTCCCTGGACTGTTGACCAGCTATGGAAATAGTTTTGTCCTCAGACAGAATGTACAGGAAAATAGATTATTGCAGAAAAAGTTAGCTTAAAATTTAACATCTTACCATTGGTTTTCCATCTTTACCAATTTAAACTTTGTTCTAGTATGTATATTTTCTCCTTTCTTTTGGATTGAAGTTGATCTGTTTTAATTTGTTGTTGATGGGGCTTTTTTTGGTATGATTTAAGGAAATCTAGGAGAGATAAATCTCTGGAGACAGCAACTAGATTGATAGATCCCTAGGGTTATGATGAGCCCTGTGATGTAGTGGGTAACACACTGGGCTGCTAACCACAAATCAGTAGTTTGAAACCACCAGCCACTCCATGGGAGAAAGATGAGGTTTTCTACTCCTGTAAAGAGTTACAATCTCGGAAACCCACAGGGGCAATTCTACTCTGCGTTATAAGTTACTATGAGTCAGAATTGACTTGCTGGCTGTGAGTTTGGCTTGGGTTTGAGAACTGAGCTTAAACCCCTTGTTCTGAGTTGAATAGAATGTGCTGTAAGCATGACCTGTGCATGCCAACCAAATGACTCCCACACTAGGAGAGATTTGTAAACTGTATGACAAATCATTCATTTATCATACTTAAAAAAATTATTTAAGCCTTTAGTCCAAGGTGTTCCAAATTAGAATAGTTGTAGCTTAGTGATTATCAAGGTATAAAGCAGGAGTGATAATAGGGATCATGTTTCCACCAGATGCACACCTGGAACTCTGGTTATAGACCATGTAGCAGATAATATTTCCTCCTCGGCTTTGTCTTTCACTTAAGTATTTTCTTTTTGTTTTTCTAGGGAGGTGCATTCGTTGAAATCTTCAGTGCTCAGGGGAAAAATCCTGGAGCAAAATGGAAGATCCTTGGCAGTTCTTCTGTGATTTGGAAAGTAAGTGTTAGAAATTAGGTTCACAGAAACTCAGAGAAGAAACCTGAGTGCAGGTTCTAGCGAAAAAGGGCTTGATTGGTTGTTAGAACCGTTTTCCCTGTTCTTTTCTTCCAAACTCTTTCATAACACCATGGGCTGCAGCCCTCCCAGACATCCCTCCTTGGTTGCGGAAGACCTTGGCACGAAGCTTCTCTGTACTCTCAGACCTGGGAAGGTTGGGGGCACTATGCTATCCATGGGGGAAATCGCTACATTCCCTGGACTTGTGGAATTCTTTATTTCTTCATGTCTAATGACTTCTTCCACTTGATTTCTCTACTGATTCCTAGTGTCACACCCTGGACCTTATGACCTCAAACTGTGGGGCCTCCGAAATTGCTCAGATATTGAAATATCCCTCTAAGACCCTAATCTTTAATTCTTTAGGTTACTTGCTCAGTTACTTCTTCTAAATAAAGGTCTCACTCATTAGGACTCTGAGGTTGTTGATCATTCACGGTCTTGTCTTTGCTCTCACTTCCAGAGGCTCTAGTCTGTCTCTTCCTTCACTTCCCAGACAAGACTCTGAATTACTTTGTTCTCTGTCCATTCATCATTCCTGCTTAGCAAGTCACACTCTGTTCTGAATGCCCAATGATCCTTCTTTTCTAGGTCTGCATCTGGGCCGCTCAGTACCTTTGGAGAAAATGTGTCCAACCTCTCGGATGGGTCATGCTGTGAGATACATTCACATGGAATAGCCCAGAGATAGCCCATAATCCTGTTCTGTTCCCTTACTTTCCAAAAGAATTTCCTCTCCACTCTCTTCCAGTTTTCAGCTGTAACTCTTTATCTTCATTCTCAACCCGTGCCCTCCCTGCTACTCCCTCCCTCACCAGCAGACCTCACCCCACTTCTGAAGGAAAACATGCTCTCAGGTAGAAACTAGCTTAGGTAACTAGTACCAGAGCTCAAAACCTGATTCCCTCCCATCCTTTTTTTTCTTTTCACCTGTACTATCAAGAGAAGAGTTCCTTCATGGAGCCCTGGTTCTATAAATTATCTTTTAAAAATTGTTTTAACTGAATATTTACCATTTGAACAGCATAGTATTAAGTACTTTACATAAGTAATTTAGTCTTCACAAAAACCATGCCATATAGGTACTTATATACCCAGCTCTTGGACCAGACAACAGGCCCCAAATAGGCGAACAACTTGCCCAAGGTGACGAAGCTTGGATGAGAGATAAATAGTGCTGTGAGAGCTTACAGCATAGAGCTCTGGAAAGCCTTCCCTGAGGAAACGATACTTGCCATCTAAGAGATAACTAGGCTAACCGATAGAGGGTGAGGCCAGTAGAAAGAATGTTTCAGGCAATGGAGAAGGAGGCTTTTGAGGACAGCATACTGAGGGGAAGGGAGGGTGCCTAGTAGGGGTTGATGGACCATGCTGAAGATGGTGGTAAACTATTGGAAGATTTTAAGTCAAAATACAGCTTGTGTCGATGGCATTAATAATATACATGGGGCAGGTACGCTCATTTTAAACATACTGAGATGCTATTGTGATAAATATACTATACACTTATTTAAAGACTCTGTTAATCCAAAGCAGCTTTAAGTTACAATGCATTTCTTGACATGTCCAAAAAAATGCACCTATGAGGAGTGGGAGGCTATGAAACATTTAAGTGTGAAAAAGGCATCTTTATGCTCAAAGACTAGGGGTTTGCTCTAAGATTTTTTAAAAAGGACCACTTACAATAACAGAAGGAAATATAAGAACAGGAGGTTTTTCATGCTGAAGATTTTTTTGCCCTTGTTTCTCTTATTTCACTTTTCTAGGAAGCTTCAAAACTTTAATTCATGTTGGTTTTAAGTAAATCTGGTAAACAGAATTTCAGCGTAGAGCACTGGGAAAATAAAGGAATCATTAATTCTGTATGAGTAATTGCCTGCAACCAAGGAATTTCTAGAACAGAAACAGCATAGGTTACATAGTTTCCTGTACTGTGAAGGATGGTGTACAGCCGTAAGCTGTTAAATAGAAATATCATAGATTAACAATCATTAAACTCTGGGAACTCCAAGTTGGTGACTTCCTGAAGTTGGAGGATTTATGATTGAGAGAAAGGATTCTTTATCAAAGGGGATGTGCCCAAGGGGCTTAATGAGCATCTATATTTCAATTTCCAGCAGGTCTTAGAATAAGGATACATACCATTTAAAAAAATTTAACATGGGACTTTTTCCTGTGAGTTTGTAGCTACAAACATAAGTAAAATGAAATATGCTTCAGTTATCTCTGTTTTCATTCTGTAGGAGTTTGATAAAGAAGTTAAAAGTTTTGTGTTTGTCCTGGAAGGCAGCAGCCAAACGAACAAAATTCAATTACCAAAGGAGAATAAGCAAATCCGTAAGTAAGAGTTTAATACTGAAACTTAACATTTGATCCTTCAAGTACTGTTACGTATCATAAACAGGCACGTCTAGGCATAACTTTTACTGGCATCTGTTAGTGTATAGGTCTTTTAAAATATATATTATATTGTGTTTTTGCTAATCATTTATACAGCAAATTTGGGCCACATTTGCTGTATAAATGTTAGGATAATTTATCCTATCCTGTGGTTTAGGCTTAATGTTGATCATTTAGTCCCAAATAGATGCTTTTTTTTCTTTTAAAGCACAGTACTCCCTAGTAATTTTGTTTATATTATGATCCAGTCTCAAAGATGACTGGCCTCCGGGAGTGGTTTTAGTTCCATGTCTACAGCATATCTCAGGTCCATAGTCCTGGGCATTCCTTTAATCTCTACTAGTCCACTAAGTCTGGCCTTTGTAAAGAATTTGTTCTACATTTGGTAGGTTTTTAAAATGTATTCTGCCTCGGTGTGTATTAGAAATCTAGAAGTATTTTGAAGCATATTTTGAAGATCATTAATAATGAAAACTCTGCTGATACAGTGAGGTGCATATTGCGCTGCTAAACACAAGGATGGTGGTTCAAACCCACCAGGTGCTCCGCTTCAGAAAATAAGATTGTGTTTCTGTAAATATTTACAGCCTCTGAAACCGACAATGGCTGTTCTACTCTGCTCTGTAGGTTCGCTGTAAGTTGGCACCAACTCCAGGCCGTGAGTTTGAGTTTGAATTGGAATAGTAGTAAGAACTTCAGGTGTGCTGGAGGCCCTGGATGGTAGAAATGTAGTACACACTAGGCTGCTAACTAAAAGGTTGGAAGTTCAAGTTTAACATTTTTGCTATATAGCAAGGACTTTGCAGGTATATTACATTTATTAGTTCCTTTAATCTTCACAATGGCTCTTTTACAAATAAACTGAGATTGATGCTTCACTCAGGAATGAGATGTTAGGGTAAGCTTTGAAATACACTCAGGATATCCTAAATGATAGGATATATGAATTTGTAAGAAAGTGTTACGAAAAATAACACATGAGGGATTAGCGACAAATTAACTCATGTAATTTAGGACTATTCCAAGCTAATATTTATAGCTAATAGATAAATATGTGAGTTAGCAAAAAATTCAAAGAACATATTTCAATGATATACTTTGGAACTAGGATCAGCATTTTAAAGCCAAAGGAACCTGAGAGGTGACCCGAACTTTTAAGTTCCATCACTCTCACACAATTCCTGTGTGTGAAATGTAGATTTCACTAAAAAGTAATCTTAGCAAACAAAAGTAGTCAGGTCTCTTAGATTCATCATTTATTTGTTTATTTTTCATTCATTAGGGACACTCATTGAATACCTACTATATCCCAGTACTATGAATTGATCGTTGTTGTTTTGTATAATTCAATTTTCTGTGCATTCACAGACTTGATGCCTGTATATATATTTTCAAGCTACTATATACATACTTTAGATTTCTAAGACATAAACTAACCATCAGAGTTATAGATAGAAAATGACTTATTTTAAAGTGTCCCTCCAGGGTTTCTTTTTAAATTAAAAACCACAAGGAGGGTCACAATCATTGCTAAAAGAATTTTCATTAGTTTACTGCCATTGTAAAAGCAGAGCTTCCTCATAGCCAAGCCCACTACCATCAAGTCAGTTTGGACTAACAGTGACCCTATGTAGCATTTCTGAAACTGTAAGTCTTTTGAGGAGCAGACAGCCTCATCTTTTTCCCCTCAGAGTGATGGGTGGTTTGAACCACTGGCCTCGTGTTTAAAAGTGGAATGCTTACTTAGTAGTGCTATCAAGGCGCCTTTGTTTCCTCATAATTTCTGGTTTCGGTGTTTTTGTTTTTTAACTTTGCATAAATGTATGTTTGTAAATGATATGAACTAGATAAACCAAAGAATATGTCTGAAACTGCATTTATTCTTTGTATGAGAGGCATAGTCCATCTTTTTAAGTATATTGACTTTGAGAGAGAGAGACTTTTGATTATTTTCTAAGCCAGAAACCAATGTGACTTCTTTTGTCTCTTTGCTTTATCATCAGTGGCTTATAAAAGCTACCTGTAT